TAATTTCAACGGTCAAGGCCACAGTATATATGTATGTGTGTTCACAATATAGAAAATTGCTACAACTGTTAAATTTTACACGCATGTTCAGATTTTCAGTACAAAAGATAAAAAATCTCGGTATATGTGTGCGGGGAATGATACCCAGTACCTTCAAACTTGGCACACATTTCCGCCGTGTGATTCCAAAAGTTAAATTGTAAGATCAAAGTTATGTTCGGTCTGTAACAATTCGGTCAGGGACAGCCTTTAGTTTATTTTTAAGTAAACGTTCATGAAAAAAAATGTATAAAATAAGTGCCGCCTTTAAACTTTACACACATATTCCTTGCGGGTACTGCAGGACATAGTTACATTTTAAGCTCAAGTGGGAATGCCACAAAAATACATTTGTTTTGTTGACATGAATATTGAAGACATCTAGAGCGCGTTGGCATCTGAGTATTGTCTAGTTGGGTAACTGCGAATCATAAGAACACCAAGCGTACTTCTTGGTTTATGATCACCGTGACATTATATTTTAAATTTATTCGTTTTCTGTTTGTGGAGGGATGTGATATAAATGTTTTCGTATACAACAATATATACCATGCAATTATAATTATACTTATTTATTCAGTGCAATATTTGAATCTCCTTGTCCCAGAATATAGAATATAGTTTAATAATAATATTTTTCATAACTCCGCTGTGTTTGCCGGATAAATTATGTCAATTTCATTCAGTGCTATCGACACGTGCTTGACGACACGTAACTATGGTTAGAATATTCTGCTCGTCATAATGCCCACATTTATAAGGTGTCGTTTTGCTCGTGTCGCCACGGCACAATTTCGTTTGTTCAACAGACCGCATATCGAATGCGTTTCAATTGGTTGTGTACACAAAGTGTTTGATCGACCATGGAGTAATTTGAAGCCACAAAAACCGTGTTTTGATTGTCGAATTGCGAGCAACTACGATAAAAGCATTCTCTGTATGCTTGGAAAGTGTTGGCTTCTTTTTCTGTATGTGACATCGGTGTTGGGAGATAACACTAACAAAAGCCCGTTATTTAAAAATGATGCGTTGTAGTAGAATGTAACTATTCAATCAATCAATCAATCATTAAAAGACAAGTTCTGTCACCCACATGTGGGAGAAACGCGTGGTAAATTGCAGACGGATTAATGCGACACCAAACATTGAAGCGACTCATTTATTTATGGTGAACAAAGCTCCAGTGTCTGTGGTAAATTTAATGAACCTGTGTGTGTTTAACTTGTCGATTGTTTAACTTTTGATCATCTGAATCATATTCAAGTAATGCCTAAATATTGAAGAAGTCAATTCAGTCTAGCCTTGACATACAAATTTGCTTTCTGTGTCACACTTAACTATATGGTCAAGAACGTGCAATGAAGGTTCTCGTTTAGTTTAATGATTTGCCGCGCTTGTTGTAAATTTTAATGAAACGAATTAAAATAAACATTTCGCTCATACGTTAACCACGTTACTCATTGTAAATTTTACTCCCTTACTACACATCTAATAATCACTTGTTTATACTATGATATACTTAGTGTTTGGTCATTTCGGAAGCTGTGTAATGATTAGCATGCAGATAAAACAGGCTTTCCAAAACCAAAATATATAAGAACATAACAAAAAACGAAAGTAGATCCAATCCAATGAAAACATACAAACGATGAATAGAATACACAAATAGAAAGGCCTCTGTTTCTTATAAATGACGTGTAGAACCAATATTTATACTTCAGTCAAACTAATCACTCCCTTATTGTCTCAAACATGATCCCCGCCATGTATATGTTTTGACAATAGAGTCTCTGTGTTAAAAGAAACATTATTATTTTTCAGTACGCCTGAGTTGCCTGTTTAGTTGCTCTAATAATTGGACCATTCAGTTCAAAAGCGGGTATGTATAGAGAGAAGACGACTACATGATCATAATGAAAAACACATGAAGGGCGAGACACCGATTGATTTCACCGGTGTTGCTGTACAATTACGACGCTGTATCTGTCTAATACCTGCGAAAAATGTCGTACCCTGGTGGATTTTGCTCAAACAGCCAACAATGAATTCACGCTGCCATGCAATCGCGCCAGATATTGGTTGGTCTCGAGAGAGAATGGAAACAACACTGTATTTTTTGTAATATATTTAATCCTTTTTTCGTCAGATGACTATCATTGCAGCGCTATCTGACGGTGAATTGATATTTTCGATTCAGTAGCACATCCCACTTATAATGAAGGCAGGCACAATGTCGTTCTGTATAACGGTTCATTGTTGCCTAGTGAGATTCCCGCTTAGCGGCAATGAGAAAATTGGTCGGTAAATTGGGCTGCATTTGAGAAATTATTTCGCCAATCAAGCCTGCATGTTGGATGATTTGATTGACATAAAAAGACCGATCCACGGCACCAGTTACCCTATTAGTTGACAGCTTTGGTGCTATATTGGAGAATAACCGTTGTATTTAGATGGATAGTGTTCTTATCTTTCCATTCCCTGTTTTCCCGAAAGACTATGCCTACGTGGGCTGTCATGTGCGTGTCTATATGTGAGAATATTAAGCGGAAGTCTTACGAAAACTGATCGAAATGGATCAACAAATTTCAAACGCGTAACTCGTTCCTCCGTGAAACGATCAGGACAAACTGGGTAAACGCGGTATGTGCGTTATGAGGAAGCAGCTGAGTTAACATAGACTGAATAATTGCAATTAAAAAACTTGATTTTCCATTAACTAAATCCGTAAATATCGGCATTATCTTGTCTCTGGTTTTATAGCAATCGGATGAATATATATAATATTCAATTTGAGAAAAATCGCGAATAAGGGCTTGTTTGTTCGCTCTTTAAATAGATTGGTGATTACACGTTGATCCAAAAGACGATCATAAACTCTGCAAACTAAATCTATTTGGCACGTAGGACCTGATGGAGGGGAAAATAAGCTCTCCGAGGTCAAATTAGGGCTCGACTTTATGTCCATAGACGACACATAAACAACAGGATATGTATATTATTACGCGCGCTGTGCCTTTTACGCGCGTAAGAAGGAAATCGATGTGAAAGATACACTATACTGCAGCACTCAATTAATTAATGATTGATGCGATTGTGGGTAACAAATATCCCTCTTATAGAAACAAGAAATGTTCCGACTGAACACTATATATTGAAGTGTTATAATTAGAATATGCATACATGAACTTCAATGACAGTGTACCC